ATTCATTTGGGGTTCAGCCTTGGGACCTAAGGTTCTGATACGTTCTAATCAGAGTTGGAATTTGGGGCATCTGTACTACGCATATAAGATCATCTAAGTAACTGTTAGGGCTGTGATTAAGGGCCCTCAGAAGTCTTCATAAACTGATACCTCTATAAGGACCACAGTCGAAACAACAACTTTTCCAAACATGAAGATACTAGCACCCACTGCACAAGCTGTAGCAGACACAACGAATGGCACGCGGCAAGACAATCATCCAACCAGACTTGGCTGACTTCTGAACCCCTAAACCCTAAACCCAAAAAGATAAACTTTTGGTCTCCTTATCACGGTTCATATAGAAACCCCAAAAAGCTAAAGTCCTGAGACCCAGCCAGAAGAACAACAACCGGAAAGCACGAATATCAACGTCTGTCGAGATCCCCTCCACACCACATCCGGACCATGCCTCCCACCCTCAACTGTAGGGTTTAGGGTTTAGGGCTTAGGGCCTAGGGTTAAGGGTTTAGGGCCCTGAACCTCTTTGATCCTTGTAGAACCCTTGTTGACTCAATAGCTTGTTGACTTCAGGGCATCCCTGCAACACCCACAGCCTCATCAAGCATCTCCTCGCCGGTCCAGTCCTGCCAGTGGCCGAGATCCCAATTCGGCTTTGGGGTTCAAGTTTAAAGCTTTCCGGCCGTAGGGCTTTAGAGTTATTTTTAGGGTTTAGGGCTTTCGGGATTAGTGCTGTAGGGCTTAGGAAACCATAATGCTGAGACCTACTGCAGCTACACGCTGCTAGCTACCGTCTGCTACAACTAGCACTACGGCGACTGCCAGTACTGCTACTACGACTTATTTCTATTGCTACCACTGCCCCAACTGCCACTTCCACTGCGACTGCTACTGCCACTGCCACTGCTAGTACCACTACGACTACCACCATTACGACTACCACTACCACTCGTAGTAGCACGACCTTCACTCCACCACTACCATCACACTGTACCAGTACCACCACCACCATCGCCACCGCCGCCGCCACCGCCGCCACCACCGCCGCCACCACCGCCGCCACCACAACAACGACCGCGACAGCGACCGCTGTCAAGACCACAACCAGTACCAGTACCAGTACGACTACCAGTACTACTACCACCACCATCACCAACGACGGGGCTACCAGTACTGCTATTCTTGTGATGCCGAGCGTGAACTTCATCTGAGTCCTCCCCAGGCGAGAAGTCGTCATCTAGGCCGTCCTGAGCTGAAAGGCTGGGGCTGTTGCCGGGGGTTTAGAGTTTAGGGTTTAGGGGGCCCTAAAACCGGATCAGCCTTTCGAAAACCTGGAAAATCCTATCTGGAAAAAACTGCGGTTCGGTGTCAAGAGCTCGAGGTTTGCAGGTTCACGATTTAGGGTCCTAGGCCTAGGACTCAGAACCCTTCTGGACCCTGCACGCCTACATTCTAAACCCTAAAACCCTCAACCCTAGACCCCAAACCCTAAACCCTAAAATCCTCAACCCTAAACTGTTGGAACCGGAGCCGACATCGATTAAGCCCCTTACTTAAGCCCTGAAGCCACTCTACGACGACCCAAATCACCCTTGTGCAACTCCTGTAAAGGGTTTAGGGTGTAGGGTTTAGGTGTTATGAGGGGAGATAATAGGTAGGCGCCGTAGCAGACCTACGCTTTTAGGATTCCCAATTATGTTACTCCATATATAAAATCCTTGAACGGGTAGGCTATGTGGGGTTACGGCAAGCCATCCAAGTCCAGAACTTCCATCCTGAAATAATAACCGCGACCGTTGAGCCCTAAGGTCATGCACCACAAATCCCAAAACCCTAAACCACTGAACCCTAAAACCTAATAATGCCCTACGTAGATCGCAAACGACTGCTCAAGCCCATCAAGCTGCCGGCTGCCAAAGAGCTCCTAAACCCTAAAGTCCTAAACCCGAAACATGCCAGCAAGGAACGCAACACCCAGATGCTTGAATGGACATCTCGGACGCTGTGTAAGACAAACTACCACGATCCGGATCTCAGAACCTCAAAGCAGCAATGCAACAGCGAGCGCAGAAAACCTGAAACCCTGCAATCGCCAATAACCTACACCCTATAAAACCCCTGCCCCTGAGCCCTGAACCCTAATTTCAAACCCTAAACCAACCCTAAACCCTAATTTCAAAACCCTGAACAAGACTCTTCGCTGGACAAACTGCTGCAGAGCTACGTACACAGCCGCTTCGTTGGCGGCAGCGTCGTCCCAGTCATCGATCATCCTGCGAATAACCCTAAACCCTAAAGTTTAGGATCTAGGCCTAAACCCTAAACCCTAAACCCTAAACCCTAAAACCTGAACCCTAAAGTTTAGGATCTAGGGTTTAGGGTCTACGAATAAGGCTTTAACGAGGGTTTTCGGGTTTACGGTTCAGGGGTTAAGTTTAGGGCGTACACGCACTCCTTGAAGATGCTAAAGACGCGCTCTAAAGCCTCTCAAATAGGCCCGGTAAGACCCTCTTTAAAGCACCCTAAGACCCTAAATAGCCATTACCCATAGGCCCCATGATAGTTCCTTTTTGGGATTACCTTGTAGGACTCTATATATGAACCCCAAAAAGGAACTACTTTAGGGCCTATGGGTAGCCATTAGGCGACGTATCAATGAGCTTCATCCCTAATCCCTGAACCCGCCCTCGCCTGCTCACGGACCCCCCTGAGGCTCTAAGTAGATTGCTTGAGACGGTGGGGTTTAGGGTTTACGGTTTAGGGCTTAACGATGATCCGACTAAACTACAATCCACTTAAAGGGCTTCTTCGACCTGTTCTCCTCGAAAAGCTGTGCTCTGCTATCCTCGCTCTCCGACTTCATGAAAGCAGCCCAGACAGCTTCGTTCAGGCCCTTCATCTGCGAGCTTCCGGCCAAACTGACGCGTCGGGGGTTTTTCGAGCAACTCTTGTATGAACCCATGTCCCAAAAACTTCTCAAATATCCTACGAGCATCACCCCTAAACCCTGGACGTATAAGGCTAAGCCCAAGACTCTTTAAGAGAAACCAAATTCCTGTGAACAAACCCCCTAAGCCCCGAGCCCAAAACACCAAATGTACTTTAGTTTCCTGTGAGCATTAGTATAACCCTAAACCCTAAACCCCTAAATCCGAGATCCCAAACCCCCTAACCCCATAAGCTCTAAAAATCCTAAACCCCTAAACCCCAGACCGTAGTGTTGCCAAGACCTGGCCTTGGATCCTCCTCCTCCTCCATACCCTCGGAGTCGTCATACTCCTCTCCGTGCCTGTGCAGGAAGCGGGAAGCAGCATGACGGTTCAGGGCTTAGTGCCCGGCAGCATGACGGTTTAAGGCTTATTTCCCGGTCTAGAGTGCAGGGTTTAGGCTGCTAGGTCCAGGGGGGTGAGGGTATACTTGGGTCGTACGTGACCGCAGGTGGGGTAGTGAAGTTACAAGTATGTGTGCAGGTATCTTTTTGTCGACTTCTACGTAGCTATCTCTGACCAGAACACCAGTGTTTACCAGTACTTGCTAAGCGACAGGGTTGGAGCCCTAGCTCGCTGTATCGGGCTTGGGGTTTGGAGCTTAAAGCGGTTAGTTGCAGGTGCTACGGTGTGGATCCCACCTATTCGAGTTGTTACCAGGATATTCTTGTTCACTGAAGCTCTGAAAAAATTCCCTGGGAGTTTTTTAGGGGCGATTCGATCTGGCTTTAGTATACCTGAGTAGCTTTTAGACTCTGGGCACATTCCAAACGTCTAAGCCCTCAACCCCAAACCGACTCAACAAACACCCGGAGCCACAGGCTGCGAAATTCAAGCAGTCATGGCTCACAGTATAAATAAAACATCATCGTTCCAAGATAACCTTTGTGGAAGCAGAACTGTGGGGGGGAAGCTATTGCAGGTGCCCAGACGAAAACTCCTAAAGTTCAAAGCCCCCAAACCCTAAACCCTAAACCCTAAAGCTCAAAGCCCCCATAATGCAAGTTCTGCCTTGGCTGAGAGCGTGTTGCCAAGCCCGCCGACCTACTCGAGCAAAGCGGTTTGGGTCTTTCAAGCCTAAAGGGGTAGGGTTTAGGGTTTAGGGTTTAGGGTTTAGGGTTTTAGGGTTTAGGGTTTAGGGTTTAGGGTTTAGGTACCCTAAACCCTAAAGCCCTACTGCTTTGGGTCCTAACTTTAAAGGGTTGAGGGCTTTTGGGGTTTTAAGGCCCCGTGCAGTACCTCGCAATGTCGCGAATCGAAGACCTTCCGTTTGGGTTCATGCTCGGGTTCTTCGGCATCGTATACCTTCCTCGAACCCTAAACCCTAAACCCTAAACCCTAAACCCCAAACCCTAAACCCTAAACCCCAAACCCCAAATTTAAAGCCTCAACCCTAC